CATAGCGTCATGTCCTGGTGACGGCGGTGCAACACGTCTCGCCGTCCCCGCAGCAAGGATTCTGCGAAGACATGCAGATCCCCCGCCGCGACTTGGCGAGATTTGGCAGGCCTACTTTTGGTGCCTTTCCTCCATCTTGCCTGCTCACCTCATGCGAGTAGAGAACATTGGGAAAGGCTTTGTCTTCCAATTTCTGTCTGTTGGCCCTCCGTGGGGAATGTTTGTCCGCAGTATGAAACAGCATGGTGGATTAGATAGATCGCTAGTCTTATCCAACATGGCACCCCTTATGTTTATACTTATATGGTGTCAAATTTAGGAGTTGATTAGGACAGCAGCCTGTACCCAACCCGCAAGCATTTGAGAGTCCTGGATCAACTCATATGTTGACGTCTCCTGTTTGAACTGGCTCTAAGCTATTACATACCCGAACTCTTTGGCACTAGCTTCCAAGAACACATTTACTTATTGAGTTTTGATCATAAAGTCCTCCCAGGTTTTTATACCCCACTTTTCTCTACCCTAAGGAGTTTCAAAGTGGCTTACAACTGCATTTCTGTCCCTTTCCCACAACAGGCACCTTGTGAGGTAGGTGGGGCTGAGAGAGTTCTGAGACAACTGTGACTGGCCCAAGGTCACCCAGCGGGCTTCATGTGGTGGAGGAGAAGGAGATTGGATTGATACCCTGTTACAGTCTCCTTTCCCTTCCCCTCCCCACAGCAGACACCCTGTGAGGTAGGTGGGGCTGAGAGAGCTCTTTCGAGAAGTGCTTGTGAGAGAACAGCTCTGAAACAACTTGTAATTAGCCCAAGGTCACACCACTAGCTGCATGTGGAGGAGTGTGGAATCAAACCCGGTTCTCCCAGATTAGAGTCCACGCTCTTAACCGCTACACCAAACTGAAGAAGAAAAGAAGTTTTTATACTCCACTTTTCTCTACCTTAAGAAGTCTCAAAGCAGCTTACAATTGCATTCCCTTCCTCTCCCCACACCAGACGCCTTGTGAGGTAGGTGGGGCTGAGAGAGTTCTGAGAGAAATTGGACTGGCCCAAGGTCACCCATTAGGCTTCATGTGGAGGAGGAGTGGGGACTCAAATCCAGTCCTCCAGATTAGAGTCTGCCGTTCTTAATCACTACACCACTCTAACTCTATTTTAGATGTTAGTCCATCAGTGGCTTCGGGTTGGTGTTGTTGTTTGGTACGTACTCTAGGGCAGAGCTGGAAATCGTGGCTGTCCTAGACTCTATGGCATCATACCTCACTGATGTCTCTCCCCAAACCCTGCCTTGCACTCCCAGATCTCCAGGAATTTCTCAACCTGGAGCTGGCAACCCTAGAGAGGCATACCTGTAGAGATGATGTTTTATCAGTCATTCCTTGTGCAAAAGCCAAGGCCTCAGGAGTTGCCGATCGGATGTTGTCTACTCGTCCCTCTTCGAACCGGCGTATGGATGCGCTTTCATAGGTTGGAACGAGTCTGCCGTGCAGTCTAGGTTTGGGGCGAGATACGACCAGTTAAAAAAAATATTATGGGGTGGAAAGAAGGGATCACAACGGTTGAAGGGAAAATAGCTTAACCGGGTTTCTGTTTCACAGCTGTGGCTTTCATTTGGTACAATATTTCATTTTTATGCTAATAGAATTCCCTATGAAGCATAGACTGGGCGGCCTCTTTTTAAATAGCGGGATCGATGTGTGCGAGGCTTAATTCATTTCTGTTCGGCTGCCCTGGTGAGGAAATCTGTTATGTCTGACAACAAGGCTGGTAAAACCGGTGTTTGCTGGGAGTGCGAGGAATGTTTCATTTGGGCGTCATCATAAAATCATGGCGTGATTAATCCTTCGGTTTGCAGGACGGGAATTAGGGTTATTTATACCAACAAAGAAAATACTACTCTAGGACTAAATGAAGACATGACGGAGCAGCCGTTTGCCAGCTTTGTAGAAGGGCAAAGGAGTACACTGTGAGAGGGACTGAAGTATGCTTTGGAGAAATTAAACCATCGTTTTCGATGCACCCACTGTTCTATGCCCATTTTGGGGTAGGGCGGGATACAAATCTAAGGATAAATAAAAAAAATAAAAATTAAATCCTCTTTCTGTGTGCTGTCAGTCTCTGGGCAATGCCATCATCCTCAGTGTTATGTATTCGGGCTGAAACATTGCACGACTGTGCTGCCAGAGACAGGGTGAGCTTGGAGCTGAATAACAATAGACCAACAGGATTCTGGCAGTAACCAATCAAGGTGTAGGACTCTGCTGCCAGAGACAGGGTGAGCTTGGAGCCGAATAACAATATTCGGCTTTACGCAAGGATCCAACCCCCATGCTCACCTTTGGGAGATCTTTTGTTGTTTTTGGACTAATCTGGGCTAATTGGGCTGCCAAGAGAAGAACAAAACCCCAGCCCCCTGGTCACCATAGGGGGGAGGCCACGTAACCGGGCAAGTCCCGTAGATCTGAGAGATCTGTGGCCTGTGGCTCCCCAGTCATCTACATTACTATTTAATTGTACATGTCCAAATGACAGACCTATGCTGGTATGGTTTTTGCATACCTGTAAAATGCCAGCTGCAGCGCTACCTGGATGTATGCATCTGGGCTCATCTTCTGTTTCTTGATGAACTCTTTTCCATAATTTTCAAATTTATACACGATAAAATCTAGATTCTTCACCGACCTAGGGAACGAGCAAACAATACACTAAAAAAAATGGACTCTTGTGTAATATTCAGAGTAAACTCCCCCCCCCCCCCAGTGTATATCAGTGCAACTGGGCTTATGGCTATGGTGATCTTCAAATACCAGGCTTAGTTCCTGCTAAAAACCTCATCTGATGGAAGAATTTTCTCCAGTGTTTCCCCAATTGCTTCTTTGGAGGGCCATAGCCCCCCCCAGGAACAGCAAAAGAGTCCAAATGCTGCTGTGGGAGAGGAAAAGGGGCAAAAATTGCCCTCTTTTCCATCAGCAGAAATGGTCAGCAGGACCAGGGCTATTTTTGGGCAGGAACGCACGGGAACGGAGTTCCGGCTGGCTTCAGAGTTGGCCATGCCCACTACAGCCAAAACCTCTGTGTGCGTGGCTACAGAGGGAAGGCCTAGAGAGTGACCCCCCCTGGTGACTCTGAGGCAGGCAGCCCGGGGGAAGGATTGGGGAGACATTTAAATGCCTCTCTGTGCCTTCCCCACCCTGTCCAAGGGCTGGCTTGCCCGGGCACCCCGCAGCCGCGCGACACCCAGGCAAGCCAAGGGAAGCCATGGGGGTGTGGCCTAATATGCCAAAGAGCTGCACTGTCGGGGGTGTGGCCTAATATGCCAATGAGTTTCTGCTGTTGGGTGTGGCCTATTAAGCTAATGAGCTCCTGCTGGGCTTTTGCTACAAAAAAAGTCCTGAGCAGGACCCGACGCAGAGCTCTGAATCCCGAATATTACCAGCCTCCTTTAATGCCAAAGGGTAAAATGCCATTTGATCCAGTTGCCAAACTGCAAGGAGGGAGAAGCAACCCTGATAGTCCTGGTATGAGAATGTGCAAAAAACCCACACCCCTCCTAATACTTGAATTCAAATTTCCTATGCAAATGAGTTGTTTACCATCACTGCTATCTATACATTCTCTCCATACCCGGTAACTCTAAACTCATTCATCAGCCCTCTTAGAGTGCATCATGTGTACAAAGAGAAGCCGCTGTTTGCATTTTATGCAAAGGCGCTGTGCTGGATCCGGTTTACTTCCTGTTGTGTTTGCAATGGTTAGTTTGTTGTCTTAGCAAAAGGACATCCTGATAATAATATGTATGATACTGCAATGACTACAGTGTAAAGGCATAATCCAGGGAGGGAGAGTGCTTAACCCTTATATTTGGGGGTTTTTCACCCATTTATCCCAGCTTTTTCTGTCCACAGCTTGCATGAACAATAAGTTGCTGTTGATGCCTTGTAGATCTGGTCTCCATTAAATTAGTTTAATCACATGTTATAACTGCACTGCACTGATGGAACTGTTGAGTCCTGCTTTGAAAAGAGTTTGGCACAACTAGATTTACATATATGTACATATGAAGCTGCGGTGGCTCAAGTGGTTAAGACGCTGAACTGCAGGCTGTGGAAGGTCGGTAGTTCAGCAGTTCGAGACCCGGTTGTGCCGCATGACGGAGTGAGCTCCCGTCTCTAGTTCCAGCTCCTGCCAACCGAGCAGTTCAAAAGCAAGAAATTGCAAGCAGATAAATAGGTACCACTTCGGTGGGAAGGTAACAGCGTTCCGTGCGCCTTGGTGTTTAGTCATGCCGGCCACATGACCACGGAAATGTCTTCGGACAGCGCTGGCTCTTCGGCTTTGAAACGGAGATGAGCACCGCAACCCTAGAGTCGGATTCGACTGGCTTTCGAGCAAGGGAAACCTTTACCTTTACCTTTACTTACATATGAAGCTGCCTTATACTGGTCCACCAAGGTCAGTATTGTCCGGTCAGACTGGCAGCAGCTGTCCAGGGTCTCAGGTAGAAGTCTTCCATATCATTTACTACCTGATCCTTTTTGCTGGAGATGCCAGAGGTCGAACCTGGGACTTCCTGCATGTCGAGCAAATGCTCTGCCATTGAGCCACAGCCCCTCCAGCCTTCTTGTCTGGATTTCTGCTGAATCCTTGGTTCAGTTTCTGATCTCCATGGTTCCATGGATGACTGGAAGCTTTAAGGACATTGCAGAGGCATGTCCACAGGTTTTCAGCACCACAGTGGCACATGGGTGTCGCCATGCCATGGCAGCAGGATGTCTGCCAGCATGTGCGGCAGTGTCCTTAGAGCCTTTCAGATCCACAGTTAGAATGGCACTGGATTCCAGTAAAGACTTTATTCCAGTCCAGCACAATTCTGCCACGGTTGGAATTCATTTCAGCTGTTGAATTTTGTATGGAGCAGAACACTGTTAGCTAGTCATGAACAACACTGAAGTGAGAAAATAGTAACTGACCAAAACCAGAGTAGAAGCATACAGTTTGAAGGGACCTCCAGGGTCATCTAGTCCAACCCCCTGCACAATGCAGGGAATTCACAAATACTTCCCCCTCCACACCTGCAATGACCACTGTTCCATGCCCAGAAGATGACAAAAAACCTCCAGGATCCTTGCCCAAACTGGCCTGGAGAAAATTTGCTCCCTGACCCTAAAGTGGCAATCAGCCTTTCCCTGGGTGTGTAAGAAGGGCCACAAGAACTAAGCACTGAGGCAACCCTTCCTGCCAGATGGCCATCTAGCCTCTGTTTGAAAACCCTCAAAGAAGGAGAGCCCACCACCTCTCGAGTAAGCCTGTTCCACTAAGGAACTGCTCTGTCAGGAAGTTCTTCCTAATGTTTAGCTGAAAATTCCTCTGATTTGATTTCAACCCACTGGTTCTGGTCTGACCTTCTGGGGCAACAGAAAACAACTCTGTACTATCCTCTATATGACAGCCCTTCAAGTACTTGAAGATGGTTATCATATCACCTCTCAGTCGTCTCCTCTCCAGCTCCTTGTCAGCTAGCTGCCATATTTCATGTGTATGTGTCCTTTCCTTCTCAGTCTACTCTGATTGACAGCTGCTCTCCAGGGTCTCAGGCAGAGGTCTTGAAGCACGGAGACTCTCCCGTTCATTATGTAACCTCCCGCCGGGAGAATTCCCCCCCGCGCGCTTGGATTTCATTTGCTTAGCTATTTGCAGCATCACGCTATATGAAGGGATGCATCCACCCCATTGTCATTCCTAACAATATCCCTGTAGATCATGGCAACGGACCCTAACCCTAACCCTGTAATCTAATAAAGTGTGACGTTTCCCTGGAATCGTGTGTGGAGATTTACTTGCTGTTGAACCTGACAGTCCTTCAACCTTTCCTCATAGGACTTGGTCTCCAGACCCCTCACCATCTCTGTTGCCTTCCTCTGGACACGTTCCAGCTTGTCAATATCCTTCTTAAATTGTTGTGCCCAGGGTTCTTTTTGTAGAAAAAGTTCAGCAGAAACTCATTAGCATAATAGGCCACACCCAGCAGTAAAACTCATTAGCATATTAGGCCACACCCCTGACCACACAGCTCATTGGCATAGTAGGCCGCACCCCCATGTTACCAGCAGTGTGGTCATCCAGCCACACCCACCTTTTGCTTCTTATTCTGTTTACCTTGTTTGTGGTCCAACCAGGGCTTTTTTTGTAGCAGGAACTCCTTTGTGTGTTACGCCACACACCCCTAATGTAGCCAATCCGAATGGGTTCCTGCTGTTGGGTGTGACCTATTATGCTAATGAGTTCCTGCTGGGCGTGGCCAACTTGGGAGCCAGCCGGAACTCCGTTCCTGTGCGTTCCTGCCCAAAAATAACCCTGGTGGTGCCCAAAACTGAACACAGTACTCTAGGTGAGGTCTAACCAGAGCAGAGTAAAGCGATACCATCACATCGAGTGATCTGGACACTATACTTTTGTTGATACAGCCCCAAAATTGCATTTGCCTTTTTAGCAACTGCATCACGCTGCCTCAGATAATTAAATCCACGTGTCAAACCCGTAGTCCATCATCATCATGATCACCATGATCATCCTCATCAGGCACTGTGTTTGGTATAGCCAGAAGAGCCTAAGATAGTCTGGCAGCCTTTACCTCTTTTAGCATTATGCACCACTAGGTGGTGAACTAGACTTACTTCTGGGGCTGAGAGAGCTCTGAAGAGCTGTGACTGACCCAAGGTCACCCAGCTGGCATCAAGTGGAGGAGTGCAGAATCAGACTCGGTTCTCCAGATTAGAGTCTGTTGCTCTTAACCACTACACCACGCTGGCTCTCTAGAAGATAACAGAAGCCATGTTGGATCAGGCCAAAGGCCCATCCAGTCCAACACTCTGTGTCACACAGTAGCCAAAAAGACCAGGTGCCATCAGGAGGTCCACCAGTGGGGCCAGAACTCCAGAAGCCCTCCCACTGTGGCTCACCCAGCACCAAGAATACAGAGCATCACTGCCACAGACGTAGTGTTCCATCTATACCTTGTGGCTAATAGCACCGATGGACCTCTGCTCCATATGTTTAGCCAGTCCCCTCTTGAAGCTTTGCTTGTAGCTGCCACCACTTCTTGCAGCAGTGAATTCCACTTGTTAATTACTCTTTGGGTGAAGAACAGAGGTCATTTCGGGGGGGATCGCAGGGGATCGCAGTTCCCCCGGGTGGGGTGCAGGGGGGCGGGGCACATGATGAAGCTCCGCCCCCTGCTTCCGGCCGCCCCACTTCCGGCTCTCATTCAGCCAGGAGGAGGCAGGAGAAGAGGGAGGGTAAGTTGCTTCCTCCCCGCCTCTCCTCACCCCTGCCTGCCTGGGGCCAGGGAGGGCCTTGGCGGGGCTTCCTCACACTCCTGCCGGCCTTGCAGGTCCACCGCCGGGCCCCTGATGTCAGGGGGTGTGGCATATGCTAATGAGTTATGCTAATGAGTTACCCTAGGTCTTTTTCTACGAAACGACCCCGGTGAAGAAGAACTTATTTTTACCTGTTCTAAGCCTACTGCTCATTAATTTCATTGACTGCCCACGAGTTCTTGTATTGTAAGGGAGGAAGAAAAGTACTTCTTCCTCTGCCTTTACATAATTTTGTCAATCCCATGCATAATTTTGTAAACCTCTATCATGTCATCCCCTCAGTTGTCATTTCTCCAAGTTAAAGAGCCCTAACCTCTTCTCGTTCTACTCTGATTGACAGTTGCTCTCCAGGGCACTGTTCCCTCTAAGCTGAGTGAGTGACCTTCTGGGGCAACAGAAAACAACTCTGTACTATCCTCTATATGACAGCCCTTCAAGTACTTGAAGATGGTTATCATATCACCTCTCAGTCGTCTCCTCTCCAGCTCCTTGTCAGCTAGCTGCCATATTTCATGTGTATGTGTCCTTTCCTTCTCAGTCTACTCTGATTGACAGCTGCTCTCCAGGGTCTCAGGCAGAGGTCTTTCACATCACTTTCTACCTAGTCCTTTCAACTGAAAATGCCGGGGATTGAACCTGGGACCTTCTGCGTGCCAAGCAGATGCTCTGCCACTGAGCCATGCCCCCTGCCCAGTGTAAATATAATCTCTAAATAATAATGAATATTTGCCTTTGCCCATTAAAGTCCATCTCCACGCATCAATCGACTAAAGCTTGAGCTGATTACTATCCTGTTTGAGCCCATCAAAGTTCCCAATTTATTTCTGTTAAAAAGCTGAAAATAGTCTGCAGTACCTTTGAAGTTTTTCTGCGGCTGAGGCCAAGTGTGCCTGAATTTCTGGAGAACATTTCCACCTTAGTCTCCTCGGAGCAGGAAGTTCGCTCACCGAATCAGCTCTGATCAGTTTCTTGGCACCTTCTTTCCTGTTTTAAAAACAAAGGGGTCTGTAGTTCCTATTCATCTGTATGTAGTGGCTCAGAGTCCCAGGACAGATCTGTGAAGCTGCCCACCACAGCGAGGTCGAGGGGGGGCGGTCCTGCCATGGCTAGCTGCTCTGGCAATATAATTTAGACAAGCAAGGCTAACAAACACTTCCTGGGCTGTTGCTTATTCACCGGGCAAGGAAGAAGAGGAAGAAGAGAAGAGGAAGAAGAGAAGAGAAGAAGAGAAAAAGAAGAGAAGAAGAAGAGAAGAAGAAGAAGAGGAAGAAGAAGAGGAAGAAGAGAAGAAGAAGAGGAGGAGGAGGAGGAAGAGGAGGAGGAGGAGACTGGATTTATACCCCGCCCTTCACTCGGAGTCTCAGAGCGGCTTACAAACTCCCATCCCTTCCCCTCCCCACAACAGACACCCTGTGAGGTAGGTGGGGCTGAGAGAGCTCTTTCAAGAACAGCTCTGATAGAACTATGGCTTGCCCATCCAGCAGCTGCAAGTGGAGGAATGGGGAATCACTTGGTTCTCCCAGATTACAGTCCATGCACTTAACCACTACACCAAACTGGCCAAGGACCAAGAGCCTAGGGCTGACCCAAGGAGTTTTGGTACCCCAAGCAAAATGACTTTGCTGCTTCCGCCACCCTGCAAGGAAGCCACCCTGCAAGGTTGCCAGCTCTGTGTTGGGAAATACCTGGAGATTTTTTGGGGGGGGTAGAACCTGGGGAGAACAGGGTTTGGGGAGGGATCTCAGCAGGGTACAATGATACAGAGTCCACCATCCAAAGGGACCATTTTCTCCAGGGGAACTGAGATTCGTAATATGGAGATCAACTGTAATCGTGGGAGATCTCCGGGCCCCACCTGGAGGTTGGCAACCCTATCCCCATCACGCAGGGCATCCACTCCGGCTGGCTTCTTAGCACCTCCTTTCCAGTGTTAAAAACAAGGGGTCTGTCGTTCCTATTCATCTGTATGCAGTTGCTCCAAGTCCCAGGACAGATCTGTATAAAGCTGCGCACCATGGAGAAATCCTTCCCCCGTCGTGCAGGGAAACTGCCGCACCTCCCTCCTTCCTGGCAGGGAAACTGCCCCCCCCCCCATTCACACTGCCCTCATTGGGGCCTGGGCTGGGACTCACTGCAATGCTACGCCCCCTAACAAGGCGGATCAGGAGGCCAAAATGGCACTGGAAGAGGGCCCCACTCCAGGCGTGCCCACAAACCCCAATGGAGGGTGGGAGGAAGGGAGGGAAGGACCACTGGGGGCCGGGGGGGTGCTACCACTTGCTGAGGCAGACCCCGACTCTGCAAGTGGGCAGGGTGGCAACAGGGCTGGTTTGGGTGCCTCCTCCTCTGGCTAGGGTTGCCAGCCTCCAGGTTAGGCCTGGGGATCTCCCGCTTTCACAACTGATCTCCAGCTGACAGCGATCAGCTCCCCTGGAGAAAATGGATGCTTTGAAGGGTGGACTCCACGGCATTGTACCATGCTGAGGCCCCTCCCCTCCCCTAACCCCACCCTCTCCCGGATCCACCCCCAAAGTCTCCAGGTATTTTCCAACCCAGACCTGGCAACCTTACCTCTGGCACTCTGGGTGGTCACCTAGGTAGGCCCAGATCAACAGGAGAACAGAGCAGTAGGGAGATTGACAACAGAAAAGAGCAAGAGTCCAGGAGCACCTCAAAGAGCTTTTGTGAGTCACTTTTCACTTCCTGGGACACTTCAGAGCAGTGGCTGATGGAAGCTCCTCCCCTGCCACAAATGTTGTCAGCAGGGCTATCTTTGGGCAGGGACGCACAGGAACGGAGTTCCGGCGGGCTCCCAAGTTGGCCACGCCCAGCAGGAACCCATTAGCATAATAGGCCACACCCAACAGCAGAAACTCATTAGGATTGGCTACATTAGGGGTGTGTGGCCTAACATGCAAAGGAGTTCCTGCTACAAAAAAAGGCCCTGGGTTTCGACCACAAACAAAGTAAGCAGAATAAGAACCAAAAGGTGGGTGTGGCTGGATAACCACAGTTCTGGTAACATGGGGGTGTGGCCTAATGTGCTAATGAGCTGTGCTTTCAGGGGCATGGCCTAATATGCTAATGAGTTTCTGTTGTTGGGTGTGGCCTATTATGCTAATGAGTTCCTGCTGGGCTTTTTCTACAAAAAGAGCCCTGGTTGTCAGTCTTTGAGGTGTTCCTGGACTCCTGCTCTTTTCTGCTGCTACAGACAGACAGACAGGGCCACCCATCTTGATCTGTCTCCATGGGAGATCTACAGGGAGGGCTGCCAGCTCTGGGTTGGGGAATACCTGGAGATTTAGTGGGTGGGGCCTGGGGAGGGTGGAGAGGGTTCCCTTTATAATGCCAGAGAGTCTCCCCTCCAAAGCAGCCATTTTCTCCAGGTGAACTGATCTCTGCCATCTGGAGATTGGCTGTAACCTTGGAGATCTCCATTCCCCACCTTGGAGGTTGGCCACTCTATCTATAGGCCCCACCTGGCGGTTGGCAACCTTAAAGGGATAACAACCAGGGGTCATTTCCTGCGGGAGCGCACAGGAGCGGAGCTCCGGCAGCAAAGAGCCCAGGGGGCGGGCACATGCAACAAGCCCCGCCCCCTGCTCCCAGCAGCCCTCAGTCAGAGCAAGAAACAGCCAGGTAAATTGCAGAGGGCCCCCCAGGCCCCCCTGTCCAAAACAGTCCAGTGGCACCTTTAAGACCAAGTTTTATTCAGGTACAAGCTCTCCCTCCTCTGCGAGGACAGATCTGCACGTTCCCCCCCCCCAATAGCTAGCAATCCAAAACAGTCCAGTGGAGCCTGAGCGGTGGGTGTTGCCTTCTGACACACTTCCGGTGATGTCAGGGGGTGTGGCATATGCAAATAAGTTATGCTAATGAGTTATGCCAATGAGCTCCTACACCTCTTTTTCTACAAAATGACCCCTGATAACAACTATCTGCATATTTCCAATTTTGTCTCATAAGAAGGATCCCATTAGGCATAAGATGTCTGTATCATTCTTTGGGGGGGGGGAAGACTCTCAAAACACAATAAGATACAAATCCCAAGTCCCAGAAAGCCCACCCGAATCCAACAACTGAGAAGAAGCGAAACAGAAGAGAGATGAAAATTATTCCTCATGGTTGTGGGCTTGCAGAGTCAACGTGACTTACATGTGCCTGAGCAGATGTTCGACGCACTGCACCAGGACGATCCCTTCAAAGGGGGAATGTTCGCACACCGTCCCGCAGACTCCGTCTCTTCCCACAACTAACTGAGTAGGGAAAATATACATTGACAGTCACAATGGGCGAAGGCAGTGTCTGTTGAACACGAAATACCAGTAAGACATCCCCACTGTGATATGCGTGTGAATGGACAGGACTTGTATACAGTGAAGACTGGGATTGCTGGATCCTTCCTGGTCACTGGCGGAGGATCCCCCTATCTATACCTTGTGGCTAATAGCTCGTGGCTAATGGGGGTAGGGTGGCCAGGTCCAGGTTGGGAACCTCCTAGAGATTTGGGGGCAGAGTCTGGGACCTCAGTGGGGTACCATGCCATACAGTCCACCCTCCAAAGCATGCATTTTCTCCAGAGGAATTGATCTCTGTAGTCCAGAGATGAGCTGAAATTCTGGGAGATCCCCAGGTCCCACCTAGAGACTGGAATCCACAGCGAAGACCCCTGGGAGTGCCGTGTGACTTTATGGACTCCGTACATTGATGAATCACAAGCGGGAATTAAGATTGCTGGGGAAAAGATCAACAACCTCAGATATGCAGAGGATACCACTTTAGTGGCAGAAAGTGAAGAGGACCTAAAGAGCCTCTTGCTCAGGGTAAAAGAGGAGAGCGCAAAAGTGGGCTTGAAGCTCAACATCAAAAAAACTAAGATCATGGCATCCGGCCCCATCACTCCTTGCCAAATAGAAGGGGAAGTCGTGGAAATAGTGACAGACTTCACGTTCCTGGGATCCCAGATCACCGCAGACGGTGACAGCAGCCATGAAATTAAAAGATGCCTGCTCCTTGGGACGCCTGCTCCCCTTCCTAACAATGCTGTTTGTCTTGAACTGCAAAACAATAAAGTTGTCAAACACTTGGCAGGTTATAATGACTGGTATTTGGCCGGGCAGGTCACAAATGAACTGGCCTGCATAAAGGGAGGTCCCCGTGTGGAACAGCCCCTTATATGCGGATCCCATTCATTGTGTCTGAAGAAGAGGGCTCGAGCCTACAAAAGTGTATGCCAAAATGAAATGTGGTTCGTCTTTAAGGTGCCACGAGACCCCTGTTTATCACTGCTGGATCAGGAAACGTTTGCACATCATCGGCTGTGGGTCTACATTTTGGATCTGCCTTATGAAGTTCAGATGCAAAGCGTTTGCTGTGGTGCCCATTGGCCGTGTGGAATGCGCCTGGGGACTGCTGCTCCCATCAGTCTCACGGAGTGGATTCAGATGCGCACCCCCATCTGTTGTATTTTGCATTACATAACTGCTGCGAGTTACTGTCTCCGGACCGGAGAATGTGGATGCAGGATTTCCAAAAACACGACATTCGAAACAGAATATTAAACGGACGGCAAGAACGAGAAGAACAAGTGTGCAGAAAGCCGGCATGGAGATATCCAAGAAAGCGATCCTTGTGATCAGAATTGCCATTCTACCAAGAATGTGCGTTAAAAGAATTTAAAATAGCTGAAGTGTTCTGCCAGGTATTAATATAAAGTTATTAAGAGCTTGCTATTTCCACAGCCGAGAAAATAATGGGATAGAGGGAGGGGAAAGAATGAAGTTTTTCTTTTTCTTACGCTGCATTCCTTACCTTAGCATTTTCTATTTCCTTTAATTGGATATGAATATACACATTTCTGCCTGCCATGCACGGCAGGCAAGCTAGGCCGACTCTCGTAATTGTGGAGGAAATTATATACCAGGATGAAAATTACAGACGGGGGTGAGTGACATTTTGCACCTCCAGGCCGAGTCTGACATTGACGCAAAGCATCTAGGAAGAAGATGGAACTCGCTGATGCAAAAACTTGGTGAGGAAGGTGACGGGCCAGTCCATTTTTATTTTTCTTCCACCTGTCCTTCTGAGTTTCTTTCTTTTTGTTTCCAGGTCAGGAGTGGAATGGCATTAGATTGGGTGTGGCATACGTTGCAGAGAACCACTGTGGTGGAATAGAGAAGCTACTGGACTTGAATGAGGACGCCCAGGACTATGAACCTCACTGCAGGGCAATGTGGAGGCTGATCTCCTTCACAGTGGTCTACTTAACAGGTTTGTTGTGAGCCTAAAATAGGAATGTACGTACACCTCCACCCTTCCTTGGATGAACCAGAAATAGGGTCGCTGGGTCTCCCTGGCCACTGGTGGGGGAGGGGAGGGGAGATGTAGGGTGGCCAGATTAAGGCTGCCAAGTGGGGGCGGGTAAACCCCCGCTTTGGTGGCCCGATTTCCACTGCCGCGGAATTGGGCCCCGGGGGGAACTCCACCCCCTGAAGCGCAGCGTGGCTGCGTCACCAGAGGTGACGCAACAACGTCAATCACGTTGGGGGCGTGGCCCCGATCGTCGGAGGGAAAACTTCCCTCCGACGATCGGGGCCACGCTTTCAACGTGATTGACGTCGCGCGCCATTTCCGGTGATGTGCTGACGGCGCACGTGTGCGCACGCCGAAGAACAGCTCCCGGAGCCCGGTGAGGCTCCCCCGCCGGTAAGAACATTTCACTTGGCAACCCTAGGCCAGATCCAGCTTGAGAAACTCCTGGAGATTTGGGGTTGGAGCCTGGGGAGGACAGGGACCTCAGTGGGGTACCGTGCCACAGAGTCCACCCTCCAAAGCAGCCATTTCCTCCGGGGGAACTGATCTCTGTCGTCTGGAGAGGAGCTGTCATTCCAGGGGATCCCCTGCAGGGTTCCCTCTAAGCTGAGTCGGTGTGAGCTAGCTCACAGTTCTTTAGCCTCCGGATCACACATTTCTGTCTTAGCTCAGGAAGGATGGCCCCAGAGCAAACTAATTGATGCGGTAGCCAGATAATGGCCGGAGCTCACAAAGTAGGATTTTTGCTCACAAGACTCCACAGCTTAGAGGGAACATTGATCCCCTGGTTCCCACCGGGAGGCTGGCATCCCTAACAGGAAAAGGATCAGTCAACAAGGGACGGTTCCAGAGGCAGGCAGTGTCGGTTTGCAGTAGAACAGCTAGATACCAGTCCAGTAGCACCTTAGAGGCCACCAAGAGCTTCAGGGTAGAAGCTTTCGAGAGTCAAAGCTCCCTCCTATACCCTGACAATCTTGTTAATCTTGTTGGTCTCTAGTTTCAGAGGGTAACCATGTCGGCCTGCGGTAGAAGAGCTAGGCTCGAGTCCAGTAGGGCCTTCGCGACCAACAAGAGTTTCAGGGTGGAAGCTCTCGAGAGACAAAGCCCCCTTCGTCAGACACAAGTCGGAATGGAGATCCTTGAGACCTTATATCCCAGTCCGTCAGGGAACGCCTGGAAGCCCAGTGTGGATCTCGAGTCCTTTCTGGAAGGAATCTGCGCTTGCTACTTCGCAGCTGGTACCATTTGGTATGTTAAAAATGCTCCACGTACATTATCCCAGGAATCCTTACAGCAACCTCGTAAGGTAGGTTAGTATTGGGGAATTTCACATTACCCAGTTTCACCCGGTTTCAAGCTGGTAATCTCCCATTTTGAAGTAAACCGGTACAGGGCTGCCATTTCACACATGGCTTGCCCCTACCAGAAATGAGCTGGATCAGAAGCGGTTTGGCATTTCAGACTTGCACCGCTCTGTTTTCCCGCCGTTTTCTTCCCGCGCGGGTGATCGATTTTTTAAAAAAAGTTCGATTTATAGCGTTATATCACTATAACGCTATACCAGAACTCCAAACGATTGCAATAGCGATCCCATTGGAGTTTGAAGTTCCGGTATAGCGTTATAGCGATATAACGCTATAAATCGAACGTTCAAAAAAAAAAAAAAAGCCCGCGCGGGCGAAAAACGGTGGGAAAAAAGCATAACAGAACCAGGAGAGGGAACTGAAGACTACTTGGAAGCGGTTGACAGGTAAAATGCTTCAGTCCTGGTTCCTAAATGGGACAGAAGCTTTTGTGGATGAAATGGCAGTTACATTCCGGTAGGGAACCGATTCTCAAACGGGTTCTGTCTGAAATGACAGACCAGAACCCGTTTGAGAACCGGGAGAGATTGCCTGTCTGAAATTCCCCATTGTCTTGATATTGCCTTTGTGGGGAGGGGGGCTGAGGATGTACTATGGCCTCCTAGAAAATGGGGAGCCGAGATATAAAATGAGATCTTGGTTCACAGGGCAACAATCCCCCAAACCTGGAGTCACTCAGCCTTGCATGGCATCTCCGCAGGGAGGTATCATAAAGACCCGACTGCAGTGTCCCCTCTAAGCTGAGTTAGCGTGAGCTAGCTCACAGTTTTTTAGCTTCTGGCTCACAGATTTTTGTCTTCGCTCAGGGAGGATGGCTCCAGAGCAAAGTAATTTATGCAGTGGCCAAATCGCTCACTCACAACTTTCATGCCAGTGGCTCACAAAGTAGAATTTCTGCTCACAGGACTCCACAGCTTAGAGGGAACATTGCCTGACTGTTCTGTCAATGTTCCCTCTAAGCTGTGGAGTCCTGTGAGCAGAAATTCTACTTTGTGAGCTACTGGCATTAAAGTTGTGAGCAGGTAGTTTGGCTGCTGCATAAAATTAGTTTGCTCTGGAGCCATCTTTCCTGAGCTAAGACAAAAATGTGTGAGCTGGAGGCTAAAAAACCTGTGAGCTAGCTCACACTAACTCGGCTTAGAGGGAACGCTGGTTCTGATGCTACAGTGGTTGGCAGTATGGTTGCTGGCTCTGGCAGGCCCGTAGCCAGGATTTCTTTGTTCGGGGGGGGGGCATGTACATTTTAAAGAGGGCAGTTAAATTACATTAAATTAATCTGAATGCCTGTCTTTAAAGGGGGAGGCTCCGAGCCTGTTTCTAGCCCTTCCTTTCGAGGGACAGGTTGGTGAGCGACTAGTGTTCCCTCTAAGCTGAGTTAGTGTGAGCTAGCTCACAGTTTTTTATCCTCCAGCTCACACATTTTTGTCTCAGCTCAGGAAGGAGGGCTCCAGAGCAAACTAATTAATGCAGCAGCCAAATCTCTCGCTCAAAGCCTTAATGCCAGTAGCTCACAAAGTAGAATTTTTGCTCACGAGACTCCACAGCTTAGAGGGAACATTGGTGAGCGTGTCAGTTCCCAGGGAAAAAACAGCTCAGAGGACATTGAATTGCCTTCGGGAGGCATTTAAATGCCTTTTTTTTTAGTTCCACAGGGTAAGAAAGCTTAGAAGGGCATCTTCAATACATTCCCAACCATCTCCCTTTCTGGTAGCCCAGAGGCACCTAGGCCATCATGGTCAAAAATAAAGTTTCTGGCATGGCTATGGTGGGGTGGGGCTTTTAATTAAGGGGGCAGGCCCCCCAAATGCCCCACTGTTGCTACGGGCCTGAGCTCTGGGTTGGGAAATACCTGGAGATTTGGGGGCGAGGAGCCTGGGGAGGGTGGGGTTTGAGGTGGGGAGGGACCTCAGCGGGGTACCGTGCCAGAGAGTCCACCCCCCCAAAGCAGCCATTGTTCCTGCAGGGGAACTGATCGCTGTCACCTAGAGATCGGTTTTAATTCTGAGAGGTCTCCAGGCCCCACCTGGAGGCTGGCAACCATGGTGTCCTGTCCAAAATGAAGGGGGGGGGGAGAAGGAAGTGGCCGAGCCGTGGAAGGAAACAGCCCTCCCTCGTTTGGCCCTGAATGGGACAGCCGCTTTGGAGAGAGGCAAAGCTTTCCTTCTTGACCTTAAGGGCTAAAAATATGTTAAGATGGAAATGAGTGTCATGGATCCCAATGGTTTCCACCCTCCGCAGAGAAAGGCATCGTGAACAATGTTTCCTTTTCTGTGGGGCAGACCAGAAAATGTGTTTTGTTCCCAATGCGTTTCAGTCTGTCTCAATGGAAGAATGTCTCTGTGCAGGAGTACAGCATTCGGATCTGCTCAGTCGTAAGCAGAGTTAAACCTGTGGTGTATTCAATCTGACAATGTATGTATGTGAACTCTCTCACTGAATCACCATGTGCAGCTTTCATCCTGGGCTAGGATCCTAATCCTTCAATTGTAATTGGTAGCCCAGGAAGAGCCGACCAATCACCAACAGCCAGTTCCATGAGAGGGAACACTTGCGATTGGTCCTTATCCGTACAACCTAATTGGTTGGTATTTGTATAGTAGGCGTGGCTACATTAGCCGGGAGGGTTTAAAAGCAGGACAGCTTCAATGCTAAAGCTGTTCTGGCCATTCATGTTGCTCTGTTTGGAGTTGAGTTACGAGTTGCTGAATCAAGCTGATCTTTTGCTGAAATCACTCTCTGACTCTTTGTTGAGTAACCGACTTAACAAAACCCTTCTCAGACCACTGAAGTCAATGGTCTTAGAAGGCGGTAAATTTGTTTTGGACTACACTGCAAGTAGCCTGCTTGATCAGTAATCCTCTGTTACCTGATGTACTTGAGGATACTGAGTATTTTATTTATTTATATCTTCGATTTGTATACCGCCCTTTACCGAGGGTCTCCGGGCGGTTTACAGGTATATGGCCTAAGTGCCTAATTAGTTCCTATCCTAGAGCCAAAATTCAACTGGGGGAGGGGCTACCTATCGACACCCGAGTGGCGTGGTCCTGTTGTATTCCACGGGTGGGCTTCTGTTGTTTCTTCCTGGTGCCTTAGGACGGGTCGACGACATCTCCCAGCAGGCTCCTGATGGACTCCTCCAGCATGCGGCAGCTCCCGATTGCAGTTTCGGCCTTTGTCCCTTAGGCTCCGCCGCGCTGCATCGTCCTGCCATCGCGCCGCCATCCCGCCACTGTCGCTCCGCCTCCATTTGGTCTCCGTCGCTGCCGCATCCACGGGTCACCTCTGCTCCGCCGCCGTATCTCTGCCGCTGCCGCCAACACTCCTGGCACACACCATCAGGAGGGAGGGTGCCCCCTGCCAACCTAGGGCAGGTACCCATTTGTCTACTTGTGGTTACGCTTTCAAGCCGCTGGGTGGGCGGGAGCTGGGACTTGGGCCGGGAGCTCACCCCGGCTGCGGTGGGTCTCGAACAGCCATAGTGGCTGTTCGCTAGTGTTATTAATGCAGGCGTTGAACTGCCTGCGCCACCGCTCCCTCCTGATGAGTATCTGATGAAGTATGCCTGCACACGAAAGCTGATACCCAGAATTAACCTTTGTTGGTCTTAACGGTGCTGCTGGACTCAAAGTCTCTTCTCTTGCTTCAGACCAACACGGCTACCCACCTGAATCTATTTTGAGGATTAGATGTATGAGATGGAGAAGGGTGTTCCTTCGAATGGCTGAAAAGATCCAACCCAACCTCCTCACTTATGTGCAGTTTTTCCATTGGGAGAGACTAGTTTTTGGAAACGCTTTAGTCCAGGGGTCCCCAGCCCTTTCGACCTTGCAGGCACATTCGGAATTCTGACACAGAGCAGTGGGCGGAGCCACAAAATGGCTGCCACAGATTGGAGCCAGCCGCAAAAATGGTTATTGCCGCTTACCTCCCAATGACACGGTGAAGATCTTTGTGCTGTGGCGGCAGCTGCTGCCAAGGCATTTCCCCCCCAAAAAATCTGCACCGTCAATCAAATCTCCAGTGGCCAATCAGACGCTCTGCTGAGCAAAAGCCCCACCTCACCCCTTCCATTTTCTAAAAGCACTTGGCAGGTCCCAGGAAAGGTGTCAATGGGTGCCACGTTGGGGGGGGGGCTGCCGTAGGAATTAAAGAGACCTTTTGTTGCCTTTCCCCCCACAACTGCTGGCTTCCTTTTGGCCTTTTGGAATGTGGGGTTTCCCCTTTGGAGGAGGAGCAGGAGGAGATTGGATTTATACCCCGCCCTTCACTACCCAAAGGTGTCTCAGAGCGGCTTACAAACTCCTTCCCCTCCCCACAACAGACACCCTGTGAGGTAGGTGGGGCTGAGAGAGTTCTTGACAGAAACTGCTCTTTTTCAAGAACAGCTCTTATCAGAATTATGGCTTGCCCAAGGTCATCCAGCCAGGTGCCAGTGGAGGAGTGGGGAATCAAACCCGGTTCTCCCAGATTAGAGTCTGCGCACTTAACCACTACACCAAACTGGCTCCTATCAGCCAGGCCGATCAGCCAGGCAACATGAGACTTCTTACCTGCATGGGTTTATCGTACCACCGATTGGCACCGTTTTTGTGGTACCCTCCCCCGTGCAGAAGTTGCAGAGCCCTGTTGGTATCATTGGGCTCCTCTCCGCTCGGGCTGTCGAGGCAGACTAAGCACAAGCTCCGTTCGATCATATCGAGTGAGTCTCGGTTAGTAGAATCTGGGGGAAATGAAACAGTCGGTTTGGTTACGACGAGTTCTGCCCCTGTTGGACTGAGAAATTGAGAGACTCCAAGACATTGAGAGAAACTGAGAGATTCCAAGGCAATATATGTTATTTGAAATCGATTAATTTTCAAGTGCTGTACAATTTTGGTGAGAATGCTTAAAAAAGAAAAGAAAACACCTGTTGCTTAAAAAAATAAAGCCCGCGCTTGTGTAAAGCATGCTCATACACGTACATAAATTTTTGGAAGCAAATAATTAAATATTAGTAATATAAAGCAAGCTGTGGAGTGTAGGAGAGTATTGAATGGGGAGGTGGTTGTGGTTCAGTGGCAAAGCCTCTGCTTGGCATGCAGAAGGTTCCAGGTCCAACCCCTGGCATCGCAAGGTAAAAAGATCAGGTAGTAGGTGCTTTGAAAGGCCTTTGTCTGAAATCCTGCAGAGCGGCTGCCAGTCTGAGTAGACAATACTGACTTTGATGGACCGAGGGTCTGATTGAGTATAAGGCGGCTTCATGTGTCTTCATTGTACACTGGTCAGAGTTCTATTATACAAGAGAGATGTGTTCTCCATCTTCCTCCCTCTCTCCCCACTAACATGTCTAGGTAGTGTTGCCAACTCTGGGTTGGGAGATTTGGGAATGGAGCCCGGCAGGGCTTTTTTTGTAGAAAAAGCCCAGCAGGATCTCATTAGCATAATAGGCCACACCCAACAGCAGAAACTCATTAGCATATTAAGCCACACCATGACAGCACAACTTATTTGCATATTAGACCACACCCCCATGTTACCAGAAATGTGGTCATCCAGCCACACCCACCTTTTGCTTCTTATTCTGTTGACCTTGTTTGTTGTCAAAACCCAGGGCTTTTTTTGGTAGCAGGAACTCCTTTGCATGTTAGGCCACACACCCCTAATGTAGCCAATCCTAATGAGTTTCTGCTGTTGGGTGTGGCCTATTATGCTAATGAGTTCCTGCTGGGCGTGGCGAATTCGGGAGCCAGCCGGAACTCCGTTCCTGTGCGTTCTGCCCCAAAAATAGTCCTGGAGCCTGGGGAGAGCAGGGTTTGGAAAGAAGAAGAGGGAGAGAGATTGGATTTATACCCTGCTCTTCACTTGGAGTCTCAGAGTGGCTTACAAATGCCATTCCCTTCCCCTCCCCACAACAGACACCCTGGGAGGTAGGCGGGGCTGAAAGAACTGTCCATGACAGAACAGCTCTGACAGAACTGTGGCTTGCCCAAGGTCATCCAGCCAGGTGCAAGTGGAGGAGTGGGGAATCAAACCCAGTTCTCCCAGATTAGAGTCCGCACTCTTAACCACTCCACCGAACTGGGGACGGAACTCAGCAGGATATAGTGCCACAGAGTCCACCCTTCGAAGGAGCCCTTTTCTCTAAGGGAACTGATCTCTGTATTCTGCAGATCGGCTGTCATTCCAGAAGATCTTCAGTCCTGACCTGAAGGTTGGCAACTCAGTCTAGGGAGTGTGTGACATGTGTGCTGTGATGTCACTGCATTCGGAGTTTGCTTGCCCTGCAAAGGGGCAACCAATGAAGTGGAGTGGAAATGGGAGACATTGCAGCATTGGGATGTCAAATCACGTTTTCTGTTCTTATGTGTTACCCGGCTGGGGGGCGGGGGGCGGGAAGGGTGTTACTGCTCTTGGTGGAAGCCCCACACACCTGTAGTTTCTCCCAGTGATGGTGGTGATCTAGGTTCAAAACCTGGCTGGTAATGAGGCTTCCCACCCCGGAGAGCCAGTTTGGTGTTGTGGTTAAGTGCACGGACTCTAATCTGGGAGAACCGGGTTTGATTCCCCACTCGTCCACTTAGACCTACTGGATGACCTTGGGCAAGCCATAACTCTGGCACAGCTGTTCTCGAAAAAGAGCAGTTTCTGTCAAGAGTTCTCTCAGCCCCACCTACCTCACAGGGTGTCTGTTGTGGGGAGCGGAAGGGAAAGGAGTTTGTAAGCCGCTCTGGGACACCTTTGGGTAGTGAAGGGCGAGGTATAAATCCAATCTCTTCTTCTTCTTCTATGTCAGAGACACAGAGAGAACAATTTTCGCCAGTGTGTTCACAACTGCACATCTGTCTTGATGCCCCGGTTGGCTGGAGTGAAGGAATGCAGCTGGTAGCTAAGTACCTAGCCGAATTTGTTCAACAAGAGAGCACTGTTAATGCTGGTACTGGAGTTACAAAATGGCGGTGGTTCGCTCACAATGGCAAACGGATTAGTTTGCTCCTCAGAACTGATGATAACCTGAGCCCAAACTTCATTGGGTGCTTTGGGAGATGTAGTTTCCAAGTTTCTCGTGTTCCACACTAAGGCAGCCCCAAAGAACTACATTTCCCAGACTCACTAGTACCTGGGACTCTCTTGGGGCAGGGTTCCAGGCACCAGAGAAGGAGATCTTGCTAAGAGACGACCACCATACTCCCCTGTGTTCTCTACTAGGAGAGCTTTGGCAGAAGGAAAGGGGAAGCCGGGCTGGCTTAAGGGGCTTGTGGGAAAAGGGTAGTGGCTTGCAAAGAACTGGGAGAGGCATTGCATTATGGATATTTTCATGCTCCCAGTGAAGCCACAGAGAGCTTAAGTCTGTCCTCTTGGGTTTTTTTTT